GTGAGGGGCGATGGCGAGGACGGGGAGGCGGGAGGAACTGTCTCTCTATGGGCTCAGCTGCAGAGGTCGTACCTCCACGCGGTCCCGCTGGGTGCCCTCAAGGGTAACCAAATCGGCTTCTGCCCCAGAGCGGGGRTATAGGATGCTCTCGCCCTGTCGTGTGGCCCCACCACCCACATGGTAGTATTGATGGATGCCGCATCCATCCGGTGAAACAAACTGATGCGACTCATGGCATGGCCACCCATGAGACATGAGCCGCCGAGCCCTCTGTCCACAGGGTGGTACAGCTGGACACCAGTCAGGCAGTTGCTCTGGGGAGTAGCACTGCCTGATTTCTGTGACTCCCCATCTCTGGAGTGGCTTAGCCGATGCCTTGCCAAAGCCAGCTTGGATGACCTCTGCATTTTGAGGGAAATGTATGTCCTCCAAGCAGCTGTATGGCAGGGCTGTGACCCTATTTCAGCAGAACGTGGATGCGTGCCACTTATTCCGACAGTGTTTTTGAGGGCAAGCCTAGGCCAATGCACAGGCTGCCGCCTGGATGCTCCACGCTGGTTGCACCCAGTCGAGTGGCAGAGTCTGTTGCCTGGTACCAGACCCCACTTCCCGTGCATTTGCTACTGCACTGTTGGAAAGGGCACATACAATTATGTCATACAGGGCCATGTCACTGGAAGTGCTAGGCTGAATCCCAATCCGTGACTGGATTGAGTCTCCACACCTGTGGGAATCTCCGTTTGCCCCGCACTGTGTGGTGTGGGATGTCATGACAGTCGTCCATATTTCAACTCTAAATTCTGGACGAAATTGCCAACTTCGACCTTGGTGGATGAGCCACCATTACTTAACTTGGAAAAAGTGCATATATCATGGATGCTTGAAAAATAGCCCTGAAGTGCGAGCGGTTCCTAATGAATCCATGGCAGTCTCGCAGTACCAACTCTTCTGAAGAGGAGGAGATGTAGCACCAAAAACTTAGGAAATTAAAGAATTAAAGTTGTACAAGCAATGTTAATTCAGTCCTACATGTGTATCCAATCTGGGATCGCCTTAATTAGCTAATCTCGTGTTCTGTTATTAATTAAAAATTGATCATCTTTTCGCAGTCTCTCAGTTTTCCATATGGGATCCAGCCTGTAGTGTACAGCAAAACTGTGCTAGACTTTGMCCAGGAATGTTAATTTCCTTGTTTCTGCTTTCATTGGTGTTTATTGCAATATCTGTGTGCCTCAAAACTGTTAGTGTGTTTTTTGTTACTCCCTTGGTAGTGTTGGAACACATTATCCCATTGACTGGTGGAAAAATTTGATGAAAAGTTAAAATTGTTTACGAAGGCCTCATGTAAATCAGAAGCAGTCTTTAATCTGAACCAAAAGCCTGTGACTCCCTGTCCCTGTGCACATTCTTTTCAGTCATGTTCCTTCATCCACAGAAATACTGTGTTTACTGCTCCCATTTTCTTCACGAGTCTTTGCAAGGCTCAGCAACACTTAAACCAGTGACTGCCAAGCTGGGCACTCCATAAAAAGGAAATTAAAGATGTGTAGCCAGACACCAGAGGTTCGACTTGCTTGTGGGGTGCAAACTTTATTTTTTTGATTCTTTTATTAGTTGGGACAATGCTTTTTTTTTTTCTGAGTATGAAATCAGGAAAGAGAAGTCTGAGGGCCTGAGTCTGCAACGTTGACTCAATGCTTTGTTTTTCTGTTCTGATTCAACATTTTAAATGACTACTTCAGATGTCAAGATTTTTACTGAGTACTTTATATTTTGTATCATTTTATAACATCAGAGTAACCACATCATTAATTATCAAGTGCAGCTTTGTAATGGCATTAGCATTGCAAGCCATCTTTACCTACTATCCTCATTATACAGATAAAAACACCAGGGAAGAAAGGCAAAGKGACTTTTCCAGCTGTTTTACAATAAGTTAGATAAAGTAGATAAAATACCAAAACTCAGTACTGCTCTGCTTTCTACCTAGTGCTGGTGGAGAAAGAGGTTATTTTACTGTTTGGTTTTTTTTTTTCCTATCTAGACCCAACTTCCCATGTTACAAGCTTCTTTAAGGAAAAAAGTCACATTTATGACCAGTAGTACATTTAGCAGCATTTCTAAATATGCATGTGCTATCCCAGTTATTAGGYAGACTGATATTTGTAGATGTGAGCAGTGGCAGGGCAATGTTCTGATAATCACAGAAGWATGTGTGGTGATCATTCTGTATCAATGACAGGATACAACTGTGCRTGACCTGGGGGCATCCAGTTTAAAGTCTGGATCTTGGTGAATAAAGGCAGTCAGATCCTGAGTATGCATGTGAAATAGCTGGAGTAATTGCTAAGTAAATATGGAAGAACACCARAGAGGGATGGCTGCTTTCCCAGTTGCTCACAGACACTTCCACACACTGGCAGGAGGACAAGTGAATACAGGCTTAGCCAGCAGAGAATGTGCTGGCCTTCTACTCTGTTTTTGTCATTTTTTCATGTATTGCTCTGCCTAAGCCTCACCCACGTGCAACCTCCATTCACAGACCTCTCTCCTTCAGTTTTACCACAGCATCAAACCTTTTTTCCCATTGTATAAAGAGGCTGGCTTTCTCCTGATGGAGCACTATCATATTATCTGTGAGCTGCTGAGATTGCTTTAGGTGGATTGCCCAAGGCCTAGTCTAGCTCAAATTTTAAAGCTGTTTGGGATGCWTGGTGGGAGAGTTAGGCTTGTTACTCATCAGTATTTTGTAGAAGACCCTAGCCTAGATGGACTTCTTTATGCAAATTCCATTAAAAATACTGCAGCTAGTAGAGATAAAACATCAGTTTTGTCTGCATGACCTTAGATGACATCTGCCTTCACTTGAGACAGGAGGCAGTGACAGGATAACTTCATTGCTATGCTATGTTGGAGCTACCACTCCTCTCCACACTCTTGAAATRTCTTCATTGAGATCTTTTATTGTGTGTCCTCTATTTACAGAATGTACATTTTTGGATCTCCAGCTGTTTCTGGGTCAATGTTTATGTAAGAGATGTTCAGGGAGGGAATCTAGATGGTGTAATACAGTGTAATAGGTACAAATAATGCTTGATTTTTGTTTTTCTCAGGAATTAGGGAGTGCTTAAATTTTTAGTAATCTTAATAATTTTTCAGCTCCTTCACTTTAGGGAAAAAAAATCTCAGACTATGATTTGATTCAAAGTCCAATGTGTCTAGAGGTGGAGTTTTGAAGCAGATTCAGTAATGACATCACAATACAAATCTTCATATTCAATATTAATCACAAAGTACTATTAATATTATTAATAATGTATTAGTAATTTGAGTATCAAAGAAGCCAAAACTGAAGTACCGCAAAGCTATCRTTTGTCTTCTGAAGTGTTGGGATGCTCATTCAGATTCAAAAGTTGATCCTAGCAAGATGTTAGGATCTCCCATCTCCCTTCTGTTGCAAGCAGCAGTTACTTGCAAGAAGCTTGCAGAAGCTTGCATAGAAGCAACTGACCATCCACATTTGAAAGATTGTGTGGCTGATATCACTGAAGTCATGATAAAGGTGAAAGAAAGAAGCAACCTCAGTCTCTTAAAAGAAGAACATTTTGTCCAAAATGTGGGACTCAAAACCCACAGAGTGACTGTTTCCCGTTTGTGTATCTCTTGAAGCTTTGAGCATTTGATTAGCTTATATACTCTTTTATTTGCCTGTAGGTAATGAAGAATGTTTTATCTCCTCTAATAATCTTAAGCATCCAATGCAAACAGCAGTCATACCTTGTGATATAATTATATCCCTATGGGAGGTCCAGTGATTTCTGTCTATCATTACAAAATAAAGTTGTCCTGGCCTTTTGTATAAATCAAAATCAGACTATTGTGATGTGGATTGTGATTTAAAATTCTGGCTTTTATTAAGTTTAAACAAAAGTATTACGTTCCGAATGGTATTTCAAATAATTTTTGAAACAACTGTGAAGATAGGAAGAGAGTCACAAATATGAAGATTTAAATTTTAAGCTGGGATCTATTTCATATAATGATATTGATGTTTATTTAGTGTTTATTGGCTCTCTGCATTGTAAGAAAATAAGGCTTTGTATTAATCCACAATGTGTAATTTATGCTATCACAAACCTGACAGTTAAAGAAAATTTGCCTTACCASCTCCATCATTACTTTGTTTTTCAACATTTCTGTGAACATTTGTGCACAGTAAGTACAGTAATTTAAATAAGAAGGGGCTTACACATGTTTGACATTGAGATAGTTCAAGCTGAGGTWCAGCTGAGTCTGGAAAGCACCCGTTTGCATTCAAATCACATGCTTAGCAGCTAGAAAGGACTTGAAACTTTACACAGGTATTTATAAATAGCTGCACTCTGTAGCTAAGGTTCACTGCTTCCTGGGTGACAAGCAGTCATCTTGTATGACCAGTTGCCAGCTAATGAGTATTCACTGTTGCCAAGTACTACATACTATTAAAAAATTAACAAAAATACAGTTCCTCTTAGTAGAATCTTGAAATTACTTCTGTGCTAAATGGGAACTCTCAGCATATCTCTAGGAAATACRATTACTGCCTGAGCATAGCCTATTTATCAGTATTCAGTCATATTCAGTTACTACTTTCATCAGAAAGCAGTGTTTTACTCGTTTTATAGTGTGGCATCAGAGCATTAATTCAGAGCATTCGTAGTCTCAAGTACACAATAATATATAACTAGAAAATGAAAGCAAACCACTCTCTCCCTTGTTTTTAACTAGGAATCGAAATAATTTCAAGGCCTTTTCAACTTTTTTTTTTTTTTTACTTTTTGCAGTCTTTTTGAGCATCTGTGCAGAGTCTGGACATGCTGATGGTTTGCAATGTGCAATGCAGGGCTTATTTTTCCTGTCCAGAGAAGTTATTAGAGGATGCTAAGATGAGAAAGAATATGGTTTTGCAAGCATATATYCCATGTTTCCCATGGTCAGTGCAGTGAGTTCCTCAAAAAATGCTAAGAGCAGTGGGTTTTTTGTTAGAAGTGCTCTCCAGCATATCCAGCTGTCTTATGTACTACCCCACTTTTTTTATTTCTACAGTTGAGATGTAGGTTTGTATCAAATCCAGATTCAGTGTTTGTTATTATTGATATCGACAACATTAAAATCTGGAAATCCAAAAGAAAAGCAAGCCAAAGAAAACATCTGGAAAATTGATAATGTTTATTGGTGATCTGTTGGCATTTTAAATATTTCCCTTACTTGYGTTGTGATGTGCTTTTGTTTGTGAAAGTGTGTATGTATATACCTAAGGGTGTTTTTTTACAAAAGGAAATGTGAATTTTCATAACTGCTATTGCTTCTGTTTAGGAAATAGAGAATTAATGTAAGACTGAAGTTGAAATGCAACACTGCTGTCAATTTCACAGTTTTTTTCTCCATACTAACTGCTAAATTTACACCAAGTGAGTTGGTAAATATTGCAGGTTTTCATAGCTGAAAAAAGTTTATGGCTGCATCTGGTCTTTCTGCTGGAGTGTACCACAGCTCCTGTCCAGCCCACATCCCTGGGTTTCCTTTCTATGCAAACCAACATCAGAAGAGAGG